TCAAAGTCTGTCTCTTTTAAACCGCGTGACGTCATCGCCGGAGTACCCAGACGAATACCTGAAAAATGGGAGCATAAGAAGCAAAAAAAATACCGCAAAACTTACTGTTAGTAGGCATTCAATTCGATTAAATATATTTCTACTTATCTGTACAACGTATACTGACATCCATTTCAGAGTTGTTAGTATTGTTGTTGTTGGTATCTATGGTATCAGGCCAGGTATCTACGCCATCTATGGTATCAGGGTCAAGAACCAGAATGACCAGATTAACTGTTTGACGCCTTGACTTCTCAGAATGAATTAGGCGATACTGGTTGCTGCGGCAAAGGTCATGTTCGTCGTCGCAAGCAAGTCTGACTGTAGTAGCCGCTGTAGGATGCCACATTGACCTCTGACGCAGCTACGGCCATTTTTTTGTTTCTCATAAGAGAATAGTTTTGAATAAGTCTACATTCTCTATCGAGATAGTTCTCAGGCGCCGGTCCCTGATTTCTTCGGACAACATCCTCAGGCCGGTCATCTTCAAGATCTTTTCGTTGTTCGATGGAACCATCGCACTTTAAGAATGTTACGCACGCAGCGATGCTGAAGTGTCCAACAGCTTTTCAAAACGCTTTAAAAGAGATTGAGAAGACGGCGGCTTTCAAGATGGTAATCTTTGTTTCTGCCCGGATAGATCAGTCTTGCCAAACTTTAAAAAGTAGTCTGTAGTTCACAGATGCCAGCTCTAAGTGTCGTTATGCTTTCATATCGCAGCTTCCATCTCCTGACAGTACAGAACTGAGGCCATGCCACTCCTTTGAATCTTTTGCTCGTTAGTGGAATCGGGTGCTCGCAAGATGTTCTTTTGGTGTGTTAACTTCTTGGCCTACCGTTCAGGCCACCTTGCGCACCCCTTAAGTCATTAATGCCAGTATGTCAATGGAGGAGTCGCTCAACATTACAGTATCGTCAATGTACTGGCGATTTGTTATGAGTAATTATAGTTACCTTCGGTTGAGTCGTCGTCTGAAATAAATCCCTCGCTGTTGTTGGGAACGAAGCTCCTTCGCATAACATAATACACCACAAGGTTTAATAATAGAAGTGGAAAAACCTCTACTTGGTGCACTCCGCTGTTGATGCTAAACCAGTCCGACAACTACTCTTCTGCTCTGGTGACGCTGTTAGTACCTTCGTGTAGTCGTTTCAGAAGCCAGTACTACACAGTGTCGCAGTATGCGCTACAAGGACTGACGATGTACTGAGTCAAAAACTGCTCAGAAGTCGAGGAATATCACGTTCCAGGATAGTTGGAAGCTCCTTCGCTGTTCGATTGTCTTTTTAGTACGGCGATATTATCCGTTCAAACCCCTGTTTTAACTGATCGAAACGAATCGTCGACTGCGTTCTTCAGTCGCTGGAGGAGGATTTGAACGATTACCTTTTTAGCACAGGCAAAATTGTGATTCCGTAGTAGTTGGTGGAATCAGAACGATTCCGACGATTGAAAATGGAAATGATCACGCCCTGCTTCCAGTTGTCAGAAATTTCCGACTGCCGCCAGATGCTATCAAAAACCAGATGGATTCAGTTCAGCAGCGTTTCACATGGGTACTTTCGCACTAATGGTGTCGTGCCCGCAGGATTTCGAACTTCGACAGAGACGTTTGGTATCTCATATTTCATCTTTTGATGGAACAGAGCAGTCAATTTCCAGTTCTTCTCGGTCTTTGAACTGTATTTACTGGTCACTGACTGAAGCGAGCAGGTTTGGGCGCTCTTCAAAGTGTTCAGCCCATCTCCTCCAATGGCTGTCTAAATCTAGAAGAGACTCTCTGAGCTTGCTACGAATCAAATAAGTAAGAGGCTTATGCTTGCCGCCAATTACGATGATGGTGACTTGTCTGTACAGCGTCTTCCAATCCTTCTTCAAAGCTGCCTGTTCCAGATTCTGCGCTTCGAGTTACATCCACTATCGTCGGTCACTGCGATAACTCCTGTTGACTGCTTTCACGAAATATCGATATTCTCGTTTTTTCATCTTTTCAAGGTTATGTAAGAACTCCTGTTTGCTGCGTTTCTTGTTTGACGAAAAGTGAAGGTTTCTGCTGAGACCCTTGGGTGCTTCGTCTTTTTGCTCAGGCTGAGTATATTTGCTGCGACAGCGACGATACCCTGTTTGAGCTATTGGCAGAATAACCTTGGGTCCTGGCAGGCCCTGTTCCTTATAATAGCTATTCTGCTGTTGATCTCGTATTGGAACGCCGCGTAAGTTTCCGTATGTTTTAACTTGCTGGTATCGAATCTGGCGTTCTCCCCATTCCGTGCAGTTTTTCATGACATGGCCAGTTGGAGACGGACCTTTACGACCACCATGAAGTAGTTCG